CGTCAGTCCCGCCCTAACGATTCTCTTTGTTTCTCTGCTGCCCCCGGTGGTCAAAGAGCAGACCTCAACACTATCTCACTAGGAAGGGGAGACCACCCTTCTGCTTTTGTCAGGCAGGCATCAGCTGGTCCAAGAGCTTGCATTACATCTCCAACACCCAATCCTCAGAATCCACCTCCCCCACCACCTCCCCCACCACCTCCTTCTTTTTCTCAGCCTGTTCAAGTCAACACTAGTTCCAGCAATTCAGGATGCACACAGGACTCCAATCATTCTGTCCAGTCCCGGCCGAGTCAGAACCACATTCAGGCTGTCACCCCGACGCTACCACACACAGATCCCTTCAGTAGCCTGCAACGGGGCCGGGAGCTTAAACGGAGCTCTAGCAATGTAACTGCAAGTTCTGGTAGTGTTGAAGCTCTATTTGAGAAGCCCACCCGAAGCCGGAGCCAGCAGCCCCTGTCACTGTCTCTGCCCCCGCAAGGTGACACCAAAGTCCAGCGGAGACCAACTAGGAAGAGGCTCTCCAAGAGCTACTCCCAAGGCTCTGTGTCTTCCCACACCACGTGCTGGTCCACAGGCAGTAGGGTAGACAGTAGAAGGGCATCTGTGGCTTTTCCATTGCAGAAAGATGCGAAACAAATGAAGGGCTCTCAAAAACTGGACACAAGTCCCTGGAGATGTAATGGGCCCTTTAGTTACTGTTTCTTTAAACGTAAGAGTGAGGGCGAAGAGGATGAGATCGAATGGGAGAGGCCCAGACGAAGTCGCAGTGGACCTGATTTCGAGGATAACGGTGCTGCTTCAGCCATATTCCCCTGCGGTTCCGCACTGGACGCTGCTGGTGAGCAGCTGTATGGCGAGGTCCTTAATAACATGAGCTTCAGTGACCGACTGGCACGAATCAACGCCCTCAAAGACCACATGTACGGTTTCCCTTCCGGCTTCACTGATGCCCGCCGTGATGCCAGCGAGCTCATCGCATTAGTGAGATCCAGCATAGGTCGCTGTGAGCGCGGCATCCAGATGCCTAACCAGGATGTATCACAGTATAAACAGCTCCTCTCCGTTGAGTCAAAAGAATTAGGCCGGGCGTGCCGGAGGATGGCACAGGCCCACAGCAGTCCAGAGGAAATGCTGCTAGCCGTGACTTGTAGCTTTCAGGTGCTTTGTTGTCTCTGCGAAGCTTGCATGTGTCTGGTTAGGGGACTCGGAGCCTCAGCCTCACACCAACAGAGAGAAGTCGTGGCAAAGGTTGACGAGGTTGTTATGAACTATATCTGTTTGCTCAAAGCAGCTGAGGCTGCCACTGTTGGAGCGCCAGGGGAGCACAGCATGAAAGCCCTGGTCCGCCACTCTAGTACCATGTCAGCCATTGCTAACGCACTCACCCGCTCCCTTAAAACGCTGCTTAGCAAGTAGAGGCTACTCCTTATAATTTATAGTGTGGCCTCTGCTGTCAGCGGGAGTATGTCTTTAAGCGTCTTGTCGTCTTTGAGTCAGCTGTAAGAGTCATGTATTTTTCATAAAGGTTTAGAGCTGTCTCCATATCAAAGTTTAAAAAGCAAAAGGCAGGAGTTAGACTAAACATTAAAGTTAAATAACATTTACAATGAATAGATGTATAAGATGCTTAAAGAGTCCTCTGACTGCACTTGCTTTTTTTCTGATGACAATATTGTAATGCATATTTACAAAGCCACACTGGCACAGACCTTTGTAATATGATATGTACCTAATAGAAATTATACCCTTTTAAGTGTGCATTATGTAAGTTATTTAGAAAATGTGTATATAATGTACATAATTAATTATCAAATTTACTGTAGCAGTTTCAAGAAGCCATCGAGTATTCAGTTTAACCCTCTCAGGCTCAGATTAAACTTTTTGTTGCTAATGCACAACCAAGTCCTGCAGTGGTACTTCTGAGTAAAAAAAACTCATAAAATATGTATGTGGGGTAATCAGGTTGTTAGTTTTTAAATGTTGCAAATCAGCAACACCTGCCTGGAGAGGGTTAATTTGCTTTGATACTGTGCAGGGCTAGGGGTGACTTCACTTTCAGTTCAATCAGTTCACGAGCAGCAGTTTTACAATAACTGTATTTATTTTAAAAGAAAATGTACCTCTAGACATGTAAGTAAAAAAACAAGTTTCATTGTCAGTCCAGTGAGGAAGCGGTATAGTTATATTTAAATGCTCTAAAATGACTGTGTAACAGTGAGCTGATTTTAACAGATTACATTATGATGCTTGTTTTTCTTTCTTTGGTTTTTGTTTATTTTACAAGATGACTGGAAAATTCAGTATAAGTGTTGAACATACAGGTTACACTAAACATTGCACTTCATTCACACAACCACTTTGTATTCTACCACTAATCTACTACCACTTAGATTATTTTGCTATATATATATTTAAAAAAAGAAATATATAATTTCCCCCAACATCAAATATAAACTTTGCTAAACTTTTGCTAAGTTAGCAAAAGTTTAGCAAAGTTTATATTTGATGTTGGGGGAACATCAACATATATATATATATATA